TATATATATATATATATATATATATATATATATATATATATATTTATTCGACATTGCTATAGATGAATAAGGATAGATCGAAGGCGTCCCAAGTGTATTGAAAGTTGTTGTCGAAAAAAAAAAAAAAAAAAAGAAGAAATATGGAACTTTTTACCGTTTTTACCTCGAAGATTACAATTGTATATAACAATTTACTCTATATGCCGCAAAGAGGTATCTATTTAGTAAGAAACGTGCGCACAATATTAGTGTGAAAGCATCGGCAGGTGCTAACTATGGAAGATAAAGCTAAATATAAATGAGGGCACCAAAATAGAATCTGCTAACGTATTGATCTTGGGCCTGCGATCTGTGTTTTCGTGAGTTTTCTTTCCTTTTTCTTTTCTTTTCTTTTCTTTTCTTCCCTCTCTTCGCTATACTTTCTTTGGCACTATACGTTACCTGATTTCGTCAATGATTGTGCTTGATCGGCTAGATCCTGAGCTCGTCTTGCCGCCTCTTCGGTTACATCTGGAAAAGTAGGTGGAACACGGCATAAGTGGGATTTATAGAGGCAATGTAAACATTAAAAGCAATGATTTGACAAGGATTAGATGAATGATGTTTCCCTGCATGGCATACCTCGGTTCATGCTTCTCTAGTTGTGGTTTTCTCCTGTTAATTCAATGATAATAAATTTACGGTATAATAAATAACAGTTGATGATGTTTTATGTTATGCTATAATAATAAGAAATGAATACTGATACAAATAAGGGTTGTCGTTTTTTTTTCTCTTTTTTTTTTTGGGAGGGGGGGACCGATAAATCTCGTTCGTTATCGATGAATGTATAAAATATTTTTCATGGTGGTGGATTTAATATTATAATGTTAAAAAATAGCATAAGAAAACCTGGAAACATGCATTAAAGAATTGTTAAACAAAGTTAAAACGCAAAAACTGAAAATAATAACAGCAAATAAATAGAAATAATGGTAAACACGTTGTTTTTTACATATGTATTTGCTACGATCGATCTTCGCGTATCTTCTTTTTTTTTTTTTTCATTTAGATTTTTCGTACTATAAAGTGCGCAATCGCATCGATCGGTATGAAGAAAATATGATACAAGGTTTGAAAGAGGTAGGCTTTTTTGAAACAACGATCACGAAAAGGGGCAAAAAATTTATTGCGCGTTTACTCGTCGTATTTTTGAACTGAAATGAAAAAATGAAAATACACACTTTATAGTACGTTCGACGTGGTTGCCTCGTAAAAGATCGTGTAAACATTAGTACACTAAAAGTGATTAAGATCAAGAGTGTTAGATATCATTACGAATGATAAGAGTGCAATGGCCTTCTTAGGCCATTTTGGTACGACTACCAAAACATAAGTTATAGAAAAGCATCAACTTAATTAATCATGTTACACACAGCTGGTATGTAATATTTATATAACGCAAATTATTGCAAGATACCTTCGATTCTACTGTCAGTGTACTCGGCGGGACTGGGTGGTGGGGTCGCTGCCGTCCGCACAGACTTTGTTACGACTGTGGTGACGGTTTGTCGTGTGCGAGGCTCGAGGTGCTCTACGTTACTAAATACATTTAATATCCTAACTGTCGAACTACTACTATCCGACGAGCTGCTAGGGCTAACCCGCTCCGTCGAGGAACTAACTCTTTGTGGAATGCGAGATACTTTCTTGAACATCGATTCCCCGGCACCATCGCTGTCCTCGATCCCTCTTTCGGACAGCCTCACCCGTGCCTCGGAATCTAGCTCAGAAAGTGGATCGTGCGTATCGAAAACCGAATAACTAACTTTCGTCGCCGATTTTTTCCATCCCTTCTCGTCTTTCGCCGTTTCACCCTCCTCCTCCCCTTTCCTCTCTTTCACGAACATCGTGTCCACGTTCTCGTACAAATGGACGTCCGGCTCGTGTCGGAAGTGCACCTTGTCCCACGCAGAGTCGCGTTTCATCTCTTCCAGAAACTCGGCCACGGCGCTTTTAGGGTCGCTGCTAACAGCGAAGAATCTCTGCCCCGCTTGATTCGATACTTTCTCTCCAAAAATTTTTCCGGTGTCCGACGACACTCTCTCGCTACTACCACTCGCTTTACCACCCGAATCCGTTACTCTCTGCGCGCTTTTAACCTTGCCTCTCCCACCTTTCGCATCCGCGCCAACTTGTTTCGATTTTTCGGACGCTGCCACGCGGCCGCGAGCCTCTTCCTCCATCGTCTCTCTCTTCGTCTCGTCCACGAAATCTTTAACGTCCCCGGAAATTTCATCGGCGGCGTGTTTCGCGCTTTTGATCAAACCGGACAGGAAACCACCGCTTTTCTCCTTCGCCCTCTTACTACCCTCCTTCCAACCTTTCTCCTTCGCCGCTTTCGCGCCATCCATCGCGGTATCCACTCTGGAGGAGATTTTCTCTTTTACGATCGAGGCGTCTTCCTTCGCCTCCTCCACCAATTTATCCTTGGTCGCTTTCGCTCCGTCGCCGATATCCTGCCCGATTCTTTCCACTTTCGCTTCCGTTTTCTTTATTCCATCGGTAATTTTAACGCCCACGGCTTTCCCAACTTCCGATACCGCGTGCGCGGTACCCGACACCTTTTCACCGATCTTCGCCCTCGTATCCTTCGCCGCGCTCGTCACTTTCTCTCCGGCATCTCTCGCATCCGCCACCACTTTGTCCTTCGTCGCTTTAACGTCCTCGGCCATTTCTCGCGCGACAGTTTCCGTTTTCATCTCCACCACCTTCGCTCCATCGACCACCTTGTCCGACACCTTTTGCGCAGCACCGGTTACTTTCTCACCGATCCTCTCCTTCGCGTCTTTCGCCCCAGTCACGACCTCGTCTTTAACCGAGTCGGCCTCTTTCGCTTTGGCCGCGAGTACTCGGCGAGCGCGCGCCTCCTCCTCGATGGCTTCCTTCTTCGTCTCGTCGAAGAATTCCTTAACCTCGCCGGAAACCTCGTCCGCCGCGTGTTTCACGCCTTTGATCAACCCCGACAGAAAACCGCCACTCTTCTCTTTACGTTCCTTTTTACCTTCCTTCCAGGCTTTCTCTTTCGCCTCGTCGCCACCATCCGCGACCCCCTCCTTTCCGGAAGAAATCGTCTCCCTCGCGGCATCGATGTCGCCTTTCACCTCCTCCGATAAACTATCCTTCGTCGTTTTTGCAACCGATTCCGTTTCACCGCCGATTCGCTTCGCTCCATCGACCAATTTAGCGGATATAGACGAACCAGCGTCCGATACCTTCTGCACGCCTTCGGATATTTTCTCACCGATACCGTCTTTAGCATCTTTGACAGACGTTGCGACCGCATCCTTAACGCCCTTCGCGTCCGAGATCGCTTTATCCTTGCCAGCTTTGCCGCTTTCAACGGCACCTCGAACAGTCGCTTCGGTTTTTGCCTCCACCGCTTTCGCTCCTTCGACGATTTTTCCACTCACGCTTTTCCCAGCGTCCGATACTTTTTGCACTCCCTCGGTTATTTTTCCTCCAACCGCGTCCGTCGCGATCGTCCTCGCCTTATCTTTCGTATCCTCCCACTCGGCATCGGCTTTATCCTTCGCCGCATCCACCTCCTTCGCTTTCCTCGCCAACGCTTCGCGCGCCCGCGCCTCCTCCTTCGTGGCTTCTTTCTTCGTTTCGTCCACGAATTCCTTCACCTCCTCCGACGCCTCGTCCACGGCGTGCTTCGCGCTCTTTAATAATCCGGAAAAGAAACCGCCGCTCTTTTCCTTCCCTCTTTTCGCCGCTTTATCCTTCGCCGTGGACGCGGCGTCCACGCCCGATGCAACTTTTTCCTTCGCATCCTTCTTAACCTCCGCTTTCTCCTCCTTCAACGCCTTCGTTTCGTCCTCAATCTTCTTCGCACCGTCCACTATTTTCTCCGATATTTTCTCTCCACCTTCGCTCGCTTTCTCCTTAACCTTGTCCCTCGCGTCTTTCGCAACAGATGCAACAACTTCGTCTCGGACGTCCGTCGTTGTTAATTTATCTTTTCCCGCGCTGACTTTTTCGTCCACCGCTTTCTCCGCGTCTTTCACGGCGCTCGAAACTTTGTCCCTCGCCTCGCGAGCTCGAGCCTCTTCCTCCGCCGCCTCTCTCCTAGTCACGTCGAGAAATTCTTTCACCTCGTCGGATACGTCGTCGGTCGCCTGTTTCGCGCCCTTGAACAATCCCGTAAGGAAGCCGCTCCCCTTCTCCTTGGCCTTCTTAGCCTCCTTCGTCGCTTTATCCTTCGCGGAAGCAGCACCGTCCACCAACGCATCTGCCCCCGAGGAAACCTTCCCCTTTACGATTTCGGCATCCTCTCGAATTTCCTTAGCTACTCTCTCCCTCGTCTCATCCGCCGCTTTTCGAGCGGCTGCCTCGACTCTCTCCACTTTTTCGCCACCCTCCGCGACCTTATCTCTGACATCCTTCGCGGAAGCGATCGCTTTATCCTTGGAATCTTTTACGCCAGCCGCGACTTTATCTTTCGTCGCTTTCGCAGCGTCTCCTATTCGCCGAGCACCGGCTTCCACGCCAGTGCCGATTTCTTTCGCGCCATCCGCCACTTTCTCGCCAACAGCTTTACCAACGTCGGACACCGTCTGCGCGACTTCCGACGCTTTGCCGCCAACCTTGTCCTCCGCGTCTTTCGCAATCGCGATTCCTTTCTCTCTCGTCGCGTCGACACCCTTTCCCAATTTCTCGGCCACCTCCGCACTTCCTCTCTTCGCCTCGTCGACAACGCGTTTCCCGTCTTCCGAAATTTCATCCGCCGCGTGTTTCGCGCCCTTGAACAAACCAGAAAGGAAACCGCCACTCTTCTCCTTCGCCTTCCTCGTTTCCTTCGCGATCGCGTCCTTCGTACTCGACGCAACGTCCACCACCGTTTCTACGCCCGACGATACCTTTTGCTTCGCCGCGTCAACGTCCTCCTTCGCCTCCTTCGCAACTTTCTCCTTTCCCGTTTTCGCGACGTCGGCTACGTCTCGAGCGAGGGCCACCGTTTCGTCCTCGACCATCTTCGCTTTTTCGCCGATTCGCTCTTTCCCGTCCCTCGCCGCGGATTCCACCTTCTCTTTAACGTCCCTCGCGTCCGAAACCAGTTTGTCCTTCGCCGATTCGACGGCATCCGTCGCCCGGCGAGCCGCCATTTCCGTCTTCGCTTCTGCGCGCCTCGCGCCATCCACGATTCTTTCGCCACCGGCATCCGTTATTCTCTCCACACCCTCGGATACTTTTCCAACCATCTCGGCTCCGAAATCCTCCACTTTTCGTTTCGCGTCCGCCACGGCCGCGTCCACTTCTTTCGCTTTTCCTTCCACCGCTTCGCGCAACCGGCCTTTCTCCTCGGCCGCTTCCCTCCTCGTTTCCTCGAGGAATTCCTTCGCGTCCGCCGACGCTTCGTCCGCCGCGTGTTTCGCGCCCTTGAACAGCCCCGAAAGGAAGCCCACGCTCTTCTCCTTCGCTTTCTTCGCCTCCTTGCCGGCCTTCTCCTTGGCGAACGTTGCGCCGTCCGTAACCGCGTCTACCGCCGCCAACGTTTTTTCCTTCGCCGCTTCGGCGTCATCCTTGATTTCTTTCACCAAAGCGTCCTTCGCCGCTCCGACGCCGCCGGATATCTCGCGGCCAGTCTTCTCCGCCGACTCCTCCACCTTCTTCGCGCCGTCCGCCATCTTTTCTCCAATCGCTTTCCCGGCATCCGTTATCTTTCGACCGGTGTCGGACACAGCCTCGCCGATCCTCTCCTCGCTCTCCTTCACCAGAGACGCGGCTCTATCCCCCGCGTGTTTCGCATCGGCCGTTATCCCGTCCCTCGTTGCCTCCGCTCCGCCGGCTAAATCTTTCGCAGCCGTCTCCACCTTCGCCTCGACAGCCTTCGCACCGCTCGAAATTTTCTCGTCCAATGCTCTACCGGCATCCGACACTTTCTCGCCCACTCTGTCCTTGGCATCCTTCGCCGCGTCCGCCGCTCTATCCCTCGCATCTTTCGCGTCAGCGACCGCTCTATCCCTCGCTGTGCCGAGATCCTTCAGTTTTCCGGCCACAGCTTCCCGAGCGCGAGCCTCCTCCTCGACGGCCTCCCTCTTCTTCTCGTCCACGAATTCTTTCGCGTCGTCCGAAATCTCGTCCGCCGCCTGTTTCACGCTCTTCAACAATCCAGAGAGAAATCCGCCGCCCTTCTCCTTCCCTCTCTTACCCTCTTTCGCCGTTTCGCGAGATATTTCCTCTCTCGCAGCTTCCTGCCCACCACTCTCGGCCACTCTCTCGCCGATCGTTTCCGTCGCGTCCTTGCCGGTAGTCGCCGCTTTCGCGCCTTCGACCACCTCTCCAATCCTCGCATCCGTCGCTCTCCGCGCCACGTCGGACACATCCATCGCGTCCTCGGCGTGTTTCACCGCGGTGACGAGTTTACCTTTCGCATCCTCGAGGTCGGCGGCACGGCCGCTCTCTTCCGACGCTTCCCTCCTCGTCTCGTCGAGGAAATCCTTCGCGTCGTCCAAAATTTCGTCCGTCGAGTGTTTCGCGGCTTTGAACAATCCCGAAAGGAAGCCACCACCTTTCTCCTTAGCTCTTCGAGCCTCCTTCCCGGCCCTCTCCTTGCCCGATATCGCGCTATCGGCAACCGCGTCCATCCCAGACGAGACCGCCCTCCTCGCCTCATCCACGTCCTCTCTCGCCTCTTTGATCGCTCTCTCTTTCGTCGCCCTCGCTCCGTCGGCCAATCCTCGGCCAACTTCCTCCGCCCTGCCTTTAACTTTCTCCCCGATCGCTTTCCCGGTGTCCAAAACTTCCGCCGCTTTATCCGCCAGTTTGTCCTTCGTCGTTTCGGCCGCTTCTCGAACACCAGCTTCCGCTCGTTTCGCTGCTTCCGTCGTTTCGTCGCCAACGATTCTTACACCCTCGGACACTTTCTCGCTCGCCTTGTCCCCGGCGTGTTTCATCGCGGCCGCCGTCTTGTCTCTCGCGCCTTTCACCCCTTCGATACCTTTCTCCACCGCCTCGCGAGCACGAGCCTCCTCTTCGCCCGCCGCCACTCTCTTCGTTTCGTCCAGCGATTCTTCCACTCCTTCCGAGACCTCGTCCGCGGCGTGTTTCGCGCCTCTGAACAGGCCCGAGAGGAAACCTCCGCCCTTCTCTTTACCCTTCTTCGCTTCCTTCGCAATCTTTTCCTTAACCGCGTCCGCGCTGTCCGCAACCGCGTCCACGCCCAACGAAATCTTTTGCCTCGCGGCACCGGCGTCTTCCCTCGCCTCCTTCTCCACCCTGTCTTTCGCCGTTCTCGCGCCTTCGCCTATCTCGCGAGCTTTGTCGCCAACCGCCTTCGCACCGCTCGCGATCCCTTCTTCCACCTTCTTGCCAACTTCCCACGCTTTCTCGCCGATCTCGTCCTTCGCGGCCGAGACAGCTTTGTCCTTGGCGTCCTTCGCCCCCGCAACCATCTCGTCTCTCGCCGTCTTTGCGCCGTCGACCGCTTCTCGACCGATAGATTCTATTTTTTCTCCACTCCGTTTCACCCCCTCCTCCAACTTTTTACCGACGGCATCTGACACTTTTTCCAATCCATCCGAAATTTTCGTCTCAACTTTGATCTTCCCGTCCTTCGCGGAAGTCGCGATTTTATCCTTCGCCTCGACGATCGCTCTATCCTTCGCCGCGGCTATATCCTCGATTTTCTTCTCCATCGCTTCGTAAGCGCGCGCCTTCTCTTCCGACGATTCTCTCTTTGCTTCTTCCAGAAATTCCTTCGCATTGTCCGAGACCTCGTCCGCCGCGTGTTTCGTTCCCTTGAACAAACCGGAGAGGAAACCGCTACCCTTCTCCTTCGCCTTCTTAGCCTCCTTTTCGATCTTGTCTTTCGCCGCAACGCCGCCGTCCACCACGCTATCCACACCTGACGCTACCCTCTGTTTCGCAACCTCCGCATCCTCCTTAATTTCCCGCGCCAGTTTGTCCTTGGTCGCCTTGACGCCGCTACTCGCATCGTGGATACCCTCCTCGGCTTTGTCCACGGCTTTCTTCGCGCCATCCGTTAACTTTTCCCCCACAGCTTTCCCAGCATCCGACACCTTTTCAACGCCTTCGATCACCTTTTCGCCAATCCGGTCCCTCGTTTCCTTCATCGTCACCGCCACTTTATCCTTCGCTTCCAAAGTATCAGCGACCGCTTTATCCTTGGCCGCTATCGCAGCTTCGCTCGCATCCTTCGCAATCGCGTCCGCTTTCTCGATCACGGTTTTCCCAACGTCGGCCACCTTTCGTCCACCATCCGCCGCTTTCTCTCTCGCGTCTCTCGCCACGCTCACAACCTTCTCCTTCGCGTCTTTCGCATCCGCCACTGCTCTCTCTTTCGCCGCACCCGCTTCTCGTCTCGTTTCATCGACGAAACCTTTCGCGTCCTCGGAGACTTCGTCCGCCGCGTGTTTCGCGCTTTTGAAAAGTCCCGAGAGGAAGCCACCCGCCTTTTCCTTACCCTTCTTCCCTTCTTTCGAGGCCTTGTCCACGACCGCTTCGACGTCCTCCTTCGCGGTCTCCGCGCCGCGTTTCACCCCCTCGATCAGCTCGGCAGCAACGGCTTTGCCCTCGTCGCTAACTTTATCCTTCGCGTCTTTTGCGGCGGTCGCAACTTTCTCCGCGGCATCCTTCGTATCCGCAACAGCTTTATCCCTCGCTTCCTTCGCGCCGTCGATCGTCGCTCCAACGACGCTCTTCGTTTTTTCCTCCGCCCGCTTCACCCCGTCGGCCATCCTCTCACCGACGACCTTCGCCGCGTCCGACGCTTTTCGCTCGGCATCGGACACCTTTGCGAGCGTCGCGTCTTTGGCATCCTTGACGTCTTTGGCAACTCTGTCCTTCGCCGCTTTCGCCTCCTTCGACTTCTCGGCGGCCGCGTCTCGTAGACGGTCCTTCTCTTCCGAGGCTTCCCTCCTCGTCTCCTCCAGGAATTCTTTAACGTCGTCCGAAACTTCGTCCGCGGCGTACTTGGCGCCCTTGAACAGTCCAGAGAGAAATCCGCCCGTCTTCTCTTTGGCCCTCTTGGCCTCTTTCGCCGCCTTGTCCTTCGCTCCACTCGCGCCGTCCACCGCCCCTCCTATTCTCCGTTTCGCGGCTTCGGTGTCGTCCTCGATCTCCTTCGCCACTTTCTCCCTTCCCGCGTCTCCGATCCTCTCCGCGCCATCCGCCATCTTCTCGACCGCTTTTCCAACGTCCTTTGCAACGGATGCAGCTTCGTCTTCCGCGCGTTTCACGCCCGCCGCTACCTTGTCCTCGATCGCCTTCGAGCCATCGACCATATCGTCCGACGGTATCATCTTTTCGCCGACATCTCGAACCTTTTCCGCCGCTTTTTCGCTAATCTTATCCACCGCTTTGTCTCTCGTCGCATCGATTTCCCTCGACTTTCCCGCCACCTGGTCCCGAGCTCGACCCTCCTCCTCCTCAACCGCTTCCTTCCTCGTTTCGTCGACCAACTCCCTCGCGTCATCTTCGAAAACTTCATCCGCGCCGTGCTTCGCGCCCTTGAACAGTCCCGACAAGAAACCGCCGGCCTTTTCTCTCGCTCTCCTCGCTTCCTTCGCGGCCTTATCTTTCGCGCCATCCACGGCCGAGTCTATTCCAGACGCCACCTTGTCCTTCGCTGCCTTCACGCCCTCGCTCGCAACTGCTTCCGCTCTCGCCTCGGCCTCCTTCGCCCCCTCCACCATCTCCCCGACTCCGTCTTTGGCGTCCCTCGCCTTCGCGATCGCTTCGTCCTTGGCCGCCGCCGCGCCATCCACCGCGTCGCGAATCGCCTTTTCCTCGACGTCGCTCGCTCGCTCGCCAACGTCAGATATTTTCCGCGCACCGGTGGCCAGTCTCTCTTTAACCGCTTCGTCCACTTCCTTCGATTTTTCGCGAGCACGAGCCTCCTCCTCGCCAATCTCCCTCCTCGTCTCGTCGACCAACTCTCTCGCCTCTTGGGAAACCTCGTCCGCCGCGTGTTTCGCGCTTCTGAACAGTCCCGAGAGGAAACCACCGCTCTTCTCCTTACCCTTTTTGCCTTCCTTCGCGGCCTTCTCCTTCGCGCTATCCATCGCCGAGTCCATTCCATTCCGAGATATCTTCTGCCTCGCTGTTTCCGCGTCCTCCTTAACCTCTTTAACCACCTTGTCCTTGGTCGCCTTCGCGGCTGACTCCGCCTCCTTTATCATCCCTTCGGCTATCCCTTTGTCCGTCCTTGCTGCTCTCCCCGTATCGGCCACCTTCTGCGCGCCACCTTCGTCCAACTTCTCGCCAATTTTGCCTTTGGCATCGTTCGCGTCACCCGTCACCGCGATATCTTTAACGTCTTTCCCTCTCTCCAACGTTTCGTCCTTTGCAACTTTCACCGCATCCTCCACCTTCTCTTCCACCCGTTTCGCTCCATCCCCGACTTTTCCCCCAACGATTTTACCGGTATCCGACACCTTTTGCGCGGCTTCGCTCACCTTTCCACCGATCGCGTCTCTCGTATCCTTGAGAACGCTAATTACTCTTCCATCCCTCGCTTCCGACACAGCCTCGTCTTTCGATTTCCCTTCCACCGCTTCTCTCGCGCGATCTTTCCTCTCTTCGCCGATCTCCCTCCTCGTCCCGTCAACGGCCTCCTTAACTTCGTCCGAGGCCTCGTCCGCCGCGTGCTTCGCCCCCTTGAACAATCCGGATAGGAAGCCGCTCTTCTCCTTCGCCCTCTTCGCCTCCTTCGCGGCTCTGTCTCTCGCCTCCGCTCCATTCGCCTCCGTCGTCGCTTCGGTCGTCGCTCTCTCCCTCGCGTCCTCTCCTCTCTCCTTCGCGTCCAACGTCGCGTTCGCGATGTTCCTCGTGTCCTCCAAGAATTTCGCGGTCGCGTCGCGGATCGAGGCGTCCGGAGGACTCGCCTCTCGCGGGGGGCCGCTCTTCTCTCGAGATCTGCTTCGCGACGCTCTCGTCAATTTTGGACTCTTGAATTTGCCGAAGATCCCCCCTCCCTTGTCTTTGTCCACGGATGCCTCCGCGGATGGCTCCCCGTCGGCGGTCATCTTCTCGGCGATTCGCCTCGAGCCTTCGCGGTGCATGCTCTCCGCCACTCTCCTCGTGTCCTCCAAAAATTCCGCCGTCAATTGCCGCGTCTCCTCGTCCCCGCTGTCGAACGACGTTTCCTTCGACGAGCTCTTCTCCCTCGACGAACTCCTCTTCTTGCTCTTCAACTTTGGACTCTTGAACATACCGAAGAATCCACCGCCCTTCTCCTCCTCGCTTCCTCCCTCACCCGCCGCCACCCTCTTCTCCGGGGAATCCGAACCTTTCTTATCGCCACGCCTCTCCAAACTTCGCTCCTTCCTCTCTTTCTCGCGCTTCCTCGCCTCCGATTTCCCGTTCGCTTCTTTGCTGCTCTTTCGCGTCTCCGAAATATCGTAGGAATGCCCGTTCAATTTATCCTTCGGCGTGTCCTCGTTGTAACGAACCTGCGAGGTGAACGTGTACACGTCGGGAACGATCTCGCCAGTATCGTCCAACGATCTCTCCGTGACGATTCGAACCTCCTCGTCGCCGCTGTCCAACGACGACTCCTTGCTCTTCTTCAATCTCTTCTCCTTCGATTTTGGACTCTTGAACATACCGAAGAAACCACCACCACCACCACCTTTCTCTTTCTCCTGATCGGTGGTATCGCCACGATCTTCCATCGCTTGATCCTTGATCGTCTCTTCCTCGTCTTTTTCCTCGACCCGAGTCGAGGCCATGAGCGCGCCGTCGAGCGCGTGCACCTCCGAAGCTAGGCGCCTGGATTCGTCCAAAAATTGCATCGTTGCCAGTTTAATGTCGGTGGCAGTTTGCTCGGCGGGTTTCATGTCTACGTACGCGTCGTACGTAACGAAGGTAGACGGTTTCGTTTTAGCGGCCTCCTTGCCAGTCGAGGCCGCTTTCGCTTCCTCGTCGCCGCTATCGAAAGACGTATCCTTCGATCCTCTCGATTTGCTCTTCCTCAGTTTAGATCCCTTGAAAATCCCGGACAATATACCCCCTCCGCTCTTGTCCTTCGACCTCTTCGACTCGTCCTCTTGTTTCTCGTCCGGGTATTGCACGCTGTAAACGCTCTCGTACGCGGATGCGGCCTGCTTCTCGCTCGTCACTCCCCTCCCCTCCTTTGGAATGTTAACTTTGCCAACGATCTCTCGCGATTCCTCGGCGGGGGATCTCTGCTCCCCTCGATCGACCCCCTTCCCCTTCGCCTCCCCTTCCTCCCCCTTCTTCGACGTGCCGGCATCGTCGGCGGGTATCGTCGATTTCTCGTCGACTTCCTTACCTTCCTTCGACATCATCTCCTTCTCGCTCACGATACTTTGTTTACCGTTCGGGATCGTCACTGTGGCGGCCGTTCGATCCATCTCTTTCACCGCGATCGTTTCTTTCCGTTCACCGATCGCAACCGGTTCCCGAGTACTCTTCTTATTCTCTACACCGTCCATCGCTGTAACTATAGTTTTCGATCCGACTATCATCTTCGCATTAGAGTCTCCCTTCCCATCGCGAACGACACGCTGCTTAACTATCGTCGGCTCGACGATCGGCGTTCGATCGATAATCGTTTCCTCCGCCATAAGGATCTTGTCCTTAGGCTTCCTCTTTACGAACTGTTCCCTAACAAAACTTTCAACTACAGCACCTCTTGCCTCTTTATTGTCTCGCGTATCATCATCATCATCATCATCATCATCATCATCATCATCATCATCATAAACCACCGACCACCCTTCCTTAGCTAACTTCCCCTTCGCTTTCTCTGCGTCTGCTATTATACCTGTTAATTAAGTATTACATATTTTAGGCATCTGTAAACGTTGCAAAATAGAAAGAACACATTTGTTTTTATTTTATTTTTTTATTTTTATTTATTTATTTATTTTTTTTTTTTAATTATCATTTCATTTCGCCATCATTAGTGTAAGCCGGCTCGCTCGATATCGCTCTTTTTAAAGAACAGCGTTAAGTTAGACTCTCGTGTGGTTTTTGTGCGTGGTATATATGTGCTATGGAGCAGTCATCCTTCTGTGTCCAACCATTTACACTTATGTTTAAAAAAGGAAAAAAAAAAAAAAAAAAATAATTGTAATAATAATCGAATAATAAATTGAATTAACGAACGACGATTAATCGAACTGTTCTTCGCAAGCTTTGAAGCTTTTGAGAAGAAAAGTTAATTCAATGATTAAAATTATGAATTTATCGTAATGAAAGAGAGAGTTACAAATGGAATTAAATTGTAACGTTTCTTGGATATTTTTTTTTGGAATAAGAATAATTTTATAAATGTGCAATTTATTCCTTTTTTTTTCCAGATAAAAATGGCGGAATAAGCGTAAGGCGATAACGACAACTGCTCCGTGCGTCCGCACAATTAGGCCACACAAAATTTGGCCACACATGCAACGCCAAAAAATTGCGGTAAAACCTTGCTGAAACAATTAATGGGACGTGTCGAAGAAATAGAAGGCTATTAGTGGGTCATTAAAATGAAGACATTGAGAGTTCGCATTATAATATAGTAGATATGAGATCGATAGGCAATAAAATAAATTGTCCATTAAATTGTAAATTAAAATAAAAGCAAGCTGATCAATTTGAAGGAAATCCGCATCAGCCCTCCAGAACCTGTGAGTGAAAGTAAAAGATGATAATGTAAAAAAAAGGAGGAAGAAAAAAAAAAAAAAAGAATGACAAAGTAAAAGAAGGAAATGTTCTAGTGCCAAAAAATATTTCATAAGAGCTAATTAAATTTCACATTTGTGATTCGTGTCCAAAGTCAATGCCGTGCTAAAAGAAAACTTCTAATAATCACCTGGTTTCTAATATCAAAAAAAAAAATAATATATATACCGGATGATCAACATTGTAATAAATAACATCTGATAAAAAAGTAAAAAATGGATGAATAATTGCTCGACTAATTCTTAATAAATAATATTAATATTAATAAAATATCATTATTTCCAAAACATTAATCGATATATAATCGATCCCAATTATTGTTTTGTAAATAACGAATAAGAAATTATTATTTATTTCTGCCAATACATAATGAAAATCATAGTAAAACCAAGAATAGAATACAATTTTTGTAAAAATAAATTAAGAGAAAAAAAAATGTATAAATTAGAAGATAGATAATACAAAACAAGATTTTTATTGTAATTTATCGGATAATAATTATATTTTTTTGATCCTCATAATATCATTCTTAGTTAAACAATGGTTTTCGTTTTATATATCGTAATAATAAAAAAAAAAATATATATATATATATAGTATATATAGAATAAATTCATAGAAATAATTCGACGAAGCTAAATAATCATTATTACGTTAAATTTTCACAAAAAGAAAAAATAAGACATGTAGAAAGATTAAGAGACGTATGTACAATCATTAATAATAAACTAAATATTTTACTTATTAATAACTAAAATTATATCAAAAGTTGAAATAATAAAAAAAGCGATGAAACTTTTTCTATTGAATTCTACGTGAAATAAATAACATATAACGCATATATCGATAAAAGAGACAATTGTTACATTTATTTGCACATCGATATAGACTATAGCTACGAACACGATATCACTAAAAAGCAAAGTCTCGAGTATAGAGCTATTCAGCACTAGCGATTGAAATTTTATCGATAAGTAGTTAATTGTATAAGTTGTTCTATGACCAAGCGTGATATTATCGCATATTAAATTAATAATCATGCTTCTGCGTTTCTTTTTCTCTTTTTTCATTTCGTTTTAAAGAAACATTATTATTATTATTATTATTATTACAGATAATGATTTTAAGTTAAGTTGAGCGAATTGAATGTTTTTCTTTTTTTCTTCTTCTTTTGTTTAATTTCCAATAGCTGATCAAAGCACGGCCCCTCAACCCATCGTCACATTTTTAAAAAAAAAATTCTTCAAATCACTTACCGGATACTATTTTGTTGGCGTCCGCGATCACCCTCTGCCGTTTTTTGTCTTTGTCGTCAAGTTCATCGCGCAACTTTTTGCTCATCGTATCGCTAACGTGACATTTGTGCTCGAGGAAATCGGCCATCACATCCCCCAGCTCTTTCTCCTCGCTTGCGTATTTATCTTTGATAGGGGTCGAGGTTCCGTTGAATACAGTGCCATTTGTGATCGTGACATGCTGTTTTGCTGTCAAGTGCGAAAAATATGTGATTTAAAAATTGTATCGTGAAAAATTGTATTGCTGCTTCATCGTAAAGCGTCAGATAAGTGATATACAGAAGTAACGAACAAATCATCGTATCATTTTTACTTGACAAAAAAAAAAAAACAAATGAATTAAAAATAAATATTGTTTCTTTTTTTTTTTTTATTAATTATATCGATCAATATCGAGTTTAAAAGTAAGTTATTTAAAAAGCAAATGATATCTATCTCAGACACGAGATAAAACGTATGTTACAAACGTACGTATCAATGTGCAACTAGTAGCAGATATTGCGCTACGTAAATAGAAATATCTCACAAAAATAGTATAGATGTATAGATATTATATGTATATACAAATATAGACATTATAAATGTGCTTTCTAAGAAGAGCGAAGTAAAAGAAAGATTATGATTTCACATATTTTTCTTAGCGATGAAACGAAGTCGAGCCACGATGTGTTATTCACAGAAATAATGCAAGCAGTGATGTCATATCCTTTCTAATGTAATCGAACGAGTATAGCATTGTAAACGTCATTCCGTTCGAAAAAATATTTTTCACTATCGTAATAATAGAGAGATTTTAAGAGATAAAAATTATAATAATAATAATTCGTAAGAAGAAGATTTTTGAAATACGTACATTTATCTCGTTTAGCGCCGCTTATATCGAGTTCTTCCATAGATCCCGACTCCTAAAGAAGAGAAAAATTTATTCGAATAAAAAAAAATAAGTAAATTTAAGTAAACGAGATAACAAATATTCTTTTCCACCCTTCTTTTTCTACCAAATACAAACCTTGCTCTTATTAAAGTCATCGTAATCAGGATTCATCTTTGGATCCATCGTTGCGTCACGGCGAAGAGAGGTGTCCCTCGAAGGGCCCAATTCTTCTTTCAAAGAGTCAAATCCAGGTTGATCCAATCGAACTCTCGCCACAGCTTTCTCCACGTCGTCCGTAATCAATTCAACGTTGAATATACATTTTTTCACGATGTCATCGCGGCCAATTTTGTTCAACGCTTTCTCCAATGTATTTCCTACGAGCGAACGAAAGAAAAAAAAAAAAATAATTTACATTGAATTTAATCCGAAAATAAAATATATCGATCGATCATAATAATAAATCCGAGTGAGAAAATAAAATTCTTTTCTCTTTTTCCCCACGAATCGCGCGAAATTTATTCGCGCATCGATCTAGCAAAGGTGTCAAGGATGAATTTTTCATCGGTGATCCTTGATACGATACCTGAGCTCATTGAAATCTGACATCTCTGACAAGGCGATCTTCTAAATAATACGGACAATTCGCTGACGTACGTGTTGGTCGCTTCATTTTCATATTCTTGATACAAAGATATAAACATGTTGCGCGTTTATGCCTTCGCAAGAATAAAATCGGAAATAATAAGAAACACAATCGATATGATAATTAGATAAAGCGTTAAAGACGAAAGTTCGCTATAAAAAAACGACTATAAATAATATATATATATATATATGCACGATCACTTTCACTGTGTTTTTATCGAGATGGCGCGTATACTTCTGTTTGTTTTAACCGATTGCAGAACAGAAACGATGTGCTACGTGCATTTCTGCCGTACATCAGTGTCATTAGTACTGGCAAAAAAAAAGTGGGGGAAAGGAGTCCATAGGTTTATGTCAGGCATAATAATGCAGGATGAGATCACCAACTACGTTGCTCCTCAGATTCCACGCGTCTTAGTCAAACATAGCCTGTCTGATTAATCGACCTTGCCGAGAACAGGTTTTTTTTTTCTTCTTCTTCTTCTAAATTTTACTATCTGCCACTACACCTAATGTTTGTCCACGTGCAGAGGATGTTTCATTCACAAAAAAAAGAAAAAGAAAAAAGAAAAAATATAACAATAGTAATTCAATGATATAAATAAAACGTTTATACGATATCACATATGCGTGGACAGGAAAATTTTTTGAGGATAAATTTTACACGCAGAATAATCGATAAAAATCGATCGAGTGTTTATAAATAGCGCGCGGTACTTGTGGATAAGAATCAAAATAATGGGATAAATTAGAGAGACGATTAAGATCATGGAAAACGTGACGTATCGAATTTGAAAAGACGAGTACGTAATAATAAGTTATAAAGATTACTGCTATTGCGAATCTGAGAACTGAATCGTGTATATTACGAATATATTTATAAAGATGAAATAACGAATACCGACAACACTGCGCGTATCATCGCTCATTTAATTAAACTTGTCAAATAATGACTAAAAATAAATAAGAGTTATCGTTTTAAACTATGAATCTTCTCCTTGTCCCATATTTATAACATATTTAATCGATATAATAAATATTCACCGAAACGTATTTGCTTGTTCGAATTATTTTTACCGATATCGGCCGGCACAACGAGATAATAGCCGTGTTAAAAATGTAATCCTAAATGTTTTCATTTCTCGTATCGTGTTATTCTCATAATACGCTGTTAATTTCATAAATATTTTATTACGGATAAAATTTTTTTTCATCCAAATTACGCGGGGACACGATAAGTTATTGATAAAATAGGAAAAAGTTGCTAAAAATCGTGAGATTTTATACAATGATATCGGGAATATTAACGAAAAATATTCATTCCCCGACATTACCTGTTGCTTTATTTCCATTGCTCTGCCAAACTTTGAGCATCGCCGCAGCTTGTTGGCCGGTTTGTTGGCGTACTCTTGTTTGATCGTCGACACTTCGTTCGGCGCCACGTTTAATTCCTCCGCGAGTTTCTCCCAATCTTTGTCCAACAAATTTGCAATATCGGTCAATCGAATGGTCGCTCTGTGGATAGCGTCTGGACGACCTGAAGGGATAAATCAACGTTTCTCAATTCTCGTCTCAAAGATTGCCGCGTACGTATCTCGCGTACAAGGAACAGGATAGTTACGTACTTATTCCGCCGTCGCGCAGAAAGCTATAATTCTTCGAGAGCTCTAACAAATCGATCTCAGAGACGGCAGGTTCCGGCGAGATTTTCTCCGGCAGCAAAATGTTTAACGTGCATATAGGCGTTTGGGGGAGCTCGCCTTTAGGAACCTTTGGCTCGCTCATGAACATTATGCGACCCATCATGTCAGCCGCGTCCGGATCCTTTATCCTCGCCGTGAACGGAACTCTGTTCTCCTTGAAAGCTCTGAACGGCAGTTGAAGCTGTTCGCCGCTCTTCAACACCGGCACGAGGTTGCCCGAAAATTCCATGTACTGCGTTTTCCCCTCCAACACCTGTGGGAAACGATTCACGAAGGATGTAAACGCGCAACAATACGCCAATTATCGACGATTCGCACGCGATCGTTAATTGCACGTTAATTAATTTAATTTACCTCCACGTCCCGGCTCTTCGCCACTTCCGTGAAGTGCTCTTGATTTTCTAACGTCTTGTCCTCTTTATCGTCGGTCATACAAAATACGCGCAACCTTGCCTCCAATGGATCTACTCGCTTTGCAAATACTACGAATCTGAGAACGGAACAAACGTTCGATAACATTCCCCCGTACGTGTGGAAGAATCATGTGGATGTAATCATGCAGGTAAAACGTAATTGAATGGTAATCGAAATTAGAGAAAAAATATATAGAGATTGCGAAATCGATCGAAGAGAGAGAGAGAGAGAAAAAAGAACTATTTCTT